CACAGGTGCTGTAAGCAGGTCCTGCTGCCTGTCAATAGGCATGGGTCAGACCCACAGAGCAGAGTAACACAGGGGCTGCCTTGAAGCTGCTTTTTTGTTTTGCTGGTTGTCACAAGACCTGCCTCTACTCTGTCCAAACTGCACTCTGATTGTTTCTAAAGGAAAACAGGCACTTAGAAGCTGTTTGGGACAGCCCTTGCCTGCTTTTCCTTAGAGACACCAGAGATGGAAGAAGAGACCTGTGCTCAGCTTGATGTAGACTGTTTTACCAGGGCAGTGATACAAGGATAGCAATCCTACAACTTTAGTCCCATCATTTACAGAAAAAACCCTGAAGAGAATGGCAGACCATAGTCTGCCTGGAGTTTCATTCCCCCTGGCTCTAGGAAAAAGGTCATTCTCCCAGCCCAGGCACTCCCCAGTCCCCTCATCCATTGCATTGCCCTTGACCCCTTCTCCTGCTCTGAGGACAGCCACCACACCATGCCCATTATCCATCCCAGCCCTGAATTTCCCCCACCTCTTCCATCTTCTACAGGAGGACAGAAAAGAAGGGTACGTGGTTACCTGCAGTTCCAGGACTGACTCTCCCTTGGGAATTCATTCTCCTCCACCAGTGTGAAAACAATGTTCAGTCTTTTTCAAGAGCTCGCATTACCAGTGTGATCAAAAATGCAGCCTTCCTACTACATAGGGCAGCTCCCATACTGGTGAGGAGCCTTCACAGTCTCTAATCTGCTGTGCAGGAAAAAGCCATATCCTGGGTGTTCCCCACAGCACATGGAGATTGGAGCACTTTCATCATTTCCCTGCAAGGACATTTCACAAGATGCTCCTTGCAACACAGAATCTCACAGAGACAAAAGGAAACAGATGAAGAGTAGCATCATTCCAGCTCAAACAACCTCCCTTTGCAAATACACAGGTGGTTTCACAGGACATAATGTTGGCCTTCCCTCTTTGGTACTTGCTCTTTCCCCCTTCAGTGAGAGTGTGTGTGAAAACACATATACTGGTATGTATATTGTGTGTTCACTGGCAAAGCACTAAACCCATTGGCAACGCCCTCCAAAAGGGAGACAACATGCAAGAAAGCATATCTGTGAGTCAGTCTGGGCAGTGCCTATATGAAGCCCAAGCCCAGTAACCCAGAGCACAACAAAGAACTTGCCAACACTATTTTTAACTAACTGCTCAGGGAAAGAGGATGGAGCTTTGAGCAGAGGGGCCAACACAGCAGAGAGTAAGCCAACATGGAAATAAACTCTTGAAGAAGTGACTAAAATGATGCTTTGTGGTGATTAGCTTGTATGACTTCAGACTAAAGAGGTAACTTGTGCTGTTGTGCTCACAGCCAGAGCACTGGGCTTAGGCAGAGCCAGAGGGGAATGGGAAGAGTCAAAGTAAGAAAAATAGTGTAAAGAAGTATGTTCAGTAAGACCTGTGTGGAAAGATGAAGTTTGGCACTGCGAAAAAGCCAGTGAGAGAGAAGCATCTCAGCCCCAAAGACTCTGAAGAGCACAGTGGCCACGTTTCCTCCACAGGACACCAAAGAACATTAACTCAAATGGCAGCAGGGAAGGATTTTGTTCTCCTTGAGATACACATCTGCACAGTGAAGCTGGAGAGCACCAGGACATCAGGAAGGGGAAGGGAGACTCTTTGCAGCATTGTACTTCTCCAGGTCCCTGATACTACCACAAGTCTCTGCTGACCACTCACAGCTGTCTGTGACACTTCTTCACACCCTCTTCTACCTGACTGTATCCTGTGGAATGAAGTCAAATCCCTGCAAGTATCAATCCTGCAGCAGTAGAAATACCCCTGTCAGTCACTGGGGGTGGCTAGATTTAAGAAAGAATTCCAGTCTCTTCCCCACCTGTCATAAAAGCAACATCAGGCATTTATGTACCCCAGGAAACACATCAGTGAAAACAGAGCAGGAGCCCAGGTGTCCAAGCCAGCTCCCAGGCAGACCATGGAGTCTGAGAGGCACCTTCTAGGAAGTTCAGAAATCTTGGCCAGCTACCACAGCAATCTTTTTCTCCTTGTGCCTGTCATGAGACCAAGTACAGGAAAGCCCAGGAGGTGCAGGGGCCAGCTATGGAGACACTCCATGTGAGGAGCTCACATTATTTGGTCAGGAAAGCCTGGGCAGATGTTTCCTGGGGCAAACAAAAGTGAGAACAGAGAGAAGGGGTTGAGAAAAAGTGAGATCCATGGTGGCATATGGTCTGCAGCAGGACATGAAGGCAACTCAGTAGGTGTCGCAGAATGCAGCAAGGCCTCAGTCTGGCCACATGGAAAAGAATGTAAATAAGAGGTGAACATCCAATCATATGTGAAAGCTAGTGGTAAATATAGATATTAGAGCTAAGAATAGAGTGAGTATGTAAGATTCTAGGAGACAGTGTGTGACTGCAGCTGACTGTTAAGGCTGTTACCAATCATACAGTTAGGTTACAGAATATTAATTATCTCATTATGTATCCTATATAAGCTGTACTGTACAATCAATAAACGAAGATTGCTTGAAACCCATATTGAGCATCCCTGCTTCCCCTCGCTGTGACAAATAGGCAATGAACTGCTGGAAGGGACTTCATGTGCAGCAGCAGCCCTGCCCTGCCCCTTGCAGCCTCTTCTGCAGCATGACCTGGCCTGGGCAGGCATGCCCTTACAGGGACCATGGAGGATTGGGCCTTCCAGGAATGCTGCTACATCAGGTGAGCTTGGGATCAGCTCTGACTTGGGAAGAGAACTTCTTCCTCCACGTGACACTCAAGGCCCAGAGTGCACTGCTTTTCCCAAGGGAGCAAGTCCAGAGGGAGAGCCTTGGAGATGGAGGTAAAAGGACTGGAAGCAGAGGGCTGGAGCACCTCTCCTTTAAAGACAGGCTGTGGCATTTGTACAGCCTGGGGAAGAGAAGACTCCAACATGACCTTAGAGAAGCCTTCCAGTCCCTAAAGGAGGCTTACAGCAAGGCTGCAGAGGCACCTTTCACAAGGCTGTGTCGTGATGGCACAAGGGTTCATGGCTGTAAACTGAGCGAGGGTAGGTTAGATTAGATTCCAGGAAGAAATTCTCTACGGTGACATTGGTGAAGCACTGGCACAGGTTTCCCAGAGGAGCTGTGGATGCCCAATCCCTGCAAGTGTTCAAGGCCAGGCTGGATGGGGCTTTGAGCAACCTGCTCGAGTGGAAGGTGTCCCTGCTCAAGATCCAGGGCTTGAAACTAGATGATCTGTAAGGGTCCTGTCCAACACAAACCATTCCACAATTCAAAGATTATACCCCTGCAGATTAGAGATGGAAAGAGAGAAAGAGGGATATACACACACTGCACAGAGACTTTTTTCATTGGTCTAATACTGTATTTTCTCTTTCATACGATTTGTTCAGCAATACCAGGGCAAGTGCAGGACATTCTGTGTGTGACTCAACAGAAAGCAGAGACTTCTGCTCAAGCAGACAAAGGGATGTGCAGCTCAGGACATCTGTCTTCCATTCCTGTGTCTTCTTCCTGGAGAACTCCATGTCTTTTCTGCCAGTGGCCACTGGACCCACTCAGAGAGAAGAGGACACAAGAACACAGGACCTGCTTTGATGACCCTCAGTCTTCATGTGTTCCCTCAGCCCCTCCGTGCACTGGGGATGCTGGACAAAGGCTCATATCACTTCCACTCCCATTATCCCGCCCAGCACAGTGAAGATGCAGGCCTCAGGGCTCTCCACCCCTCCCAGCACAGCCCAGCACCAGTCCCAGCTCACTGCTCATCTCTCAGTTTTACTAAGGATGAGGGTATCTTCATCACACAGTCACGGCAGCACCTTCACAAATCCGACAATGCCTGTTACATGGGACATTATTCCAGTTGTTGGGTATTTCTGAATCCCTGTGCATTACAACACACTTCTCCTCATCATACGGGCTTGGTTCATCTGTTCGCCAGAACCTGAGACAGAGACAGGCATGTTACTCCCCAGCTTTCATTCTAAAACACTTCTGGAAAAGGCCACAGAGGGATGCAGGACTTGAAGGAGAGAGACAAAGATTCCCACTGCTGATTCATGGACAGAAGCAGTACCCTTCCTCCCTCTCTGATATCCCACTGGCACTAGTGTCACATGGGAACCTGCCTTCTTCCTACAGCCTTCCAACACAGAAGGACCCTGATCCTTCCTCCTGGGGACAACTGATCACCAGCAGAGACATGTGTCTGTCTCCAGGGCAAGTTTGTGATCCCTCCCTCTCACACACCAACAACATCCTCACATCTCCCCTTCTTTCTTGCACTACCAGGAGCCACACCAATCACTCTCCAGCCAGGGATACTCACGCTGCTGTCACATTATAGGGAGTCTTGTCCACCCACTGCCACTGATCCTTAATCTCTTCTCGCAGACCGATGTAGAAATTCGGTCCTCTCGTACCTTGTTTTATCTGTTTAGAGAGGAAAACCTGGAAATGAGGGAGAATGCAATGTCCGTGAGATGCAGGATTGATCAGAAGGAGGCATCAGGAGCCCCTATGGGGTAGGGATGTGTGATAGTTTTAGTCTAGGCCTTCCTGGTGACCAGTTTGTAACCAAGGAAGTAGCCAGGTATAACCAATTGTGTTCCATACAATTTTTACGTAAACCAGAGTATAAATAAGTCGGAGATTAGAGACCTCTCTCTCTTCTCTTCCGGCGAGGTCTGGGAACAGTGAGTCCCTGCGTTAGTCTCGCTTATCTAAGGCTGAGGCCTGCAGAGTCCGCTGTCCTACCACGTGGGGGTTTGGAGAGTGCTGGCTGTGACTGCCGATCCTACTGTTCTAGGGGACGTGGTGAGATCTGTTTTGTTAGTTATTAATATAGTTTGATCTAATATACCTGTTCGGTATCCCTTTTGTTCCCTTTTATCCCCTTTTTCCCTTTCCCTATCCCTGCGGGGGGTGGACCCCCTTTTTCTGTGTATATAGCATCTTAACTG